GCATCCCTAGAAGGCTTCTTGACTCGGTCTCTATTGGATGGCCTGGCCTGTGATTCATGTGGGGCTTGCACAAACAGATGTGGCACGTCTTGCAGTCGTCGATAGCTGCCCATTTGCTATGACGTCCCTGATCTGCTTCCTCCGTGCGGTTGAACGATGTGCGGATCATCCTGCCATCCGTGCGTCTCCGCGCCCACGTGGTGTGATCCCAAAGTCTGTCGTCTTCGCGTCGCTGTGCACCTATATTGCGACGAGCTCGACCCTCGTCTCCCCGGCCCATGAAGCATTCCGCGGTGTCCTCGTCCGGGCATCGTCCGCTGTGAACTAGTGCTGAATGGCACTCTGGCCGAAGATGGCGAAGCGCGGGGAGCCCCGAGGGCTGCGCGCGATGATCGGGTAGACGCTGGTGTCGCCGATGTCGCCGAATGGTGCATCAATGACCTGTGGTGGCAGCTCGTTGCCGAGCATTACGTACATTTCTTCCTGAGTGGCTGGCATGGTTGATGCTGGAGACGACGGGGGAGTCGAAGGCGAATGCATGTCACATTCCATGGGGCGCTCGCCATTTTCCAGCGCGTCGCCGTGCTCTAGCTCGGTGCCAAGCTCACGGGGCACGTTGCAAAATCCTGCCCGCTGCTCGAAAGCGATCGGTAGTTGAAAATACGGCGCCAAAGCGTCGTATATAGACTCCACATGTAATCCTCGACTTGATCGAATACATCCGTGCAAGTGGAGACCATGGCGAGGTGTACCGGCTCGCCTTCTAGGATCAGTTGGTCGTAGTCGACGCGCTCTAAGACATCTGAACCCACGGTAGCAGCGATATCCCCATCCCCCTTGCCTCCGCTTGCTGCGCTGTGATGCAAAATGCATGGGGCACCCACGTGGATCACACCACCTGCAACGGCCATCCTTTGCCGGTGATTCGGGGACCGCGACTCGTGGCTCTGCGCCCATTGAGCATCTCGTCATGCTGATCATTGACAAAGGAGGTGATGAACGAAGCAATGTCCTTGCCGTGACACCTCCTCCTTGCACCTTTACCTTTGCTACGTCCCTTTGAATGCAATGTCTGTCATTTCATGTCTACGTACTCGTCGCGCGGGTTTCCTCATGGACCTCCTCCATCTCCTCTTTGCATGTCGCATGGCAGAATACAGAAACTCAGCTTTAGTCGTCAATAAGATGTGCTGGCATTTCTGACTGATCCACTCCTTCTACGCCTTCGAACGATTCTGTATCTGTATCTGTGCCAGAGATAGAGAGTGAGGACGGCTCAGCTAGGGTCGCAGTAGGTAGAGCGTTGTTGGCAGGTGGTGTCCTGGCCCACTCGTTGCTGCCAGCTGCCTAGCCGCCAGTCGCCTGGCCTGCGAAAGTCTGTGCTTTCAGATGGATTGTCTGGCCATGCGTTGGGGCCAACAGCTGATTCCCCCCCCACCGCTGCCGCGAAGGAAAGCGAGGTCTGATTTGAAGTTGGCGGAACGTGGCGCATTGCCGCATCCTCGCCCAGGCACCCCGCAGACATCCCAGGGAGATCTTTCGGCAAGGTGGGCGAATGATCGCATTCGATCAACTAGCGAATCGTATTCGATCTGGGTCCTGGGCATATGGTGGTCTAGAGGCTGCAACATCCGCGATGCTCGCACTGACCCTATTTGGAGGGCCCGGACCAAGATGGTGGTCAAGATCTGTAAGTTGGGGATGTCAAATCCGACTGGTTGTGCCTCAAGCTTGACCATCTCACCTGCAAGAACATTGAAGCCGATGAGTCGGGTACCCGAGTCAATTTGTAGTTCGCTGTCTGGATGTCCGAACTTGTCGGTTCAAATTTACATGCGATATGTCGCAGGATCGGTTCCCACATCAATAATTTCTACACCGTAGTTCATGGTGTGTGAAGGAATACGCATCGCTATGATCCGTGCAAAGCCTGAGAAACCTCGTTGGATGGCGGCCGCTTGCTGTCGTGTGGAGCGGCCGCTAGTTACGTTGAGCCACGCGTGGACCTCGTGTTCGTAGGTCCTGAAAGGCACGTTGCCCGCAAGGTCCGAGACGGATCCTCTCGTGAGTGTGGCGTCGCCTGCACCGCGCTGCATGTAGCCTACAATCGGCCCCGAAATAATACGTGTGATGCCGAACAGGGGGGTCGTTCATGTAGTGGTTGAAATTCGATGGCGTTTGCGGTTGTTCCACTTTCTGGTGGTGGCGGACTGCTGTCAAGCGTCGTAGGGGTCTTGGCTGCATATCGCCATGCGTAGCGTGGTGGTCCAATGGTACGACAGCTTGGGTAAGCCTGTTGCCAAGCTGATTGCACGCGTTGTGCCGAACGTGCTGACGAAGAGCCGTGGCATCTGCACCTGAAATCGTATTCGACATGTGGTTGGTGGTGGAAACAGGCAGTCCGTTGCCGGGCTGCCCACGCCAGCTTCCTGACTTTGTTTCCCGAAGAGATGTCGGCGCATGGTAATCCATAATGGTAATACATCTGCTGCCGTGGTAATTTGTAGGCAACAGGGCCAGCCACACAAGTGTGTAGCCAGCTCCGCTACCCATTAGAAAAGAAGCCGCGAGTGTAGAAGTAGATGCGACCATCTCCTCTACAAGGTGAAAGTCACTAGCATTTCATCATGTCCTGGTGTCGACCCCTTAAGCCCAGTTGTGGGTGCGCTCGCTCACTCGAACAGCTGGGCAACTTACTTTAAAGTTCTTGGGGGCATTTGAGCGATGTTAGAGGCCCTCTGAGGCCGCCCTGGGGCTGTTCTGCGCCGTCTTCGAAAGCTGTGGGGGTCCGTGGTCTCCTCTCTTGGGGGCGTCAGGGGGCCTCATTTAGGCTCCCCAGGGGGCCTGCAGGGACCTTCCTGGGCCGTCTTGAGCCTTCTTGGGGCTCTCTTGGGCCGTCTTCGGGCTATCTTGGGGAGTTCTTAGGCTGTTTCGGAGCGAGTTTGGCGGCGTCTGGGGTGCCTTGGGGCCTCCATCGGGCCCCACTGGGGGCTTGCAGGGGCCTTCCTGGCCGTCTTGGGCCTTTTTGATCTCGTGGGGGCTTCTGCTGTTGTGGGGCGGTTTAGGCGGCGTCTGGGGTCGTGGTGCACGTGTTTGCCGAACATGTCGGCGCATGGTACTCCATATGGATCATCCATCTACTGCCGTGGAAATTTCTAAGCAACAGAGCCAGCCACAAAAGTGTGGAGCCAGCTCCGCTACCCATTAGAAAAGAAGCCGCGAGTGTAGAAGTATGTTAGGTCAGTTCCTCTACGCGATGAAAACCAGTAGCAGCTTATCAAATCCTGGTGTCGACCCCTTGAGCCCAGTTGCGGGTGCGCTCGCTCACTCGAACAGCTGGGCAACTCCCTTTAAAGTTCTTGGGGGCATTTGAGCGACGTTAAAGGACCTCTGAGGCCGCCCTGGGGCTGTTCTGCGCCGTCTTCGAAAGCTGTGGGGGTTCGTGGTCTCCTCTCTTGGGGGCGTCAGGGGGCCTCATTTAGGCTCCCCAGGGGGCCTGCAGGGACCATCCTGGGCCGTCTCGAGCCTTCTTGGGGCTCTCTTGGGCCGTCTTCGGGCTCTCTCGGAGATATGTTGGGCTGTTTCGGAGCGAGTTTGGCGGCGTCTGGGGTGTCTTGGGGCCTCCATTGGGCCCCACTGGGGGCTTGCAGGGGCCTTCCTGGGCAGTCTTGGGCCTTTTTGATTTCTTGGGGGCCTCTGCTGTTGTGGGGCGGTTTTGGCGGCGTCTGGGGTCGTGGTACACGCTGGGGCAGCCCGCCACTTGTCGATACTGAGAATGCACGTTGTCCAAAGGGAATGGGACGATGTCAGCTTCCCGGGCCCTTTGGGGGGTCATCTTGGAGCCCTCTTGGAACGTTTTGGGGGTATCGCTGGCCTTCTGGAAAGGATCTTGCTTGGTCTGGGAGCCTGCGGGGGCGTCTTAGATGCGTCTTGGGGACAGAATGGGCCGTTTTGGAGGCCTCGCAGGGGACCCAGTACCCCCATGCCCCGCGGAGGTCCCTGGGCGCGGCCAGGGGGGCTCGTCTCCCGATATATATATATATATATAAACATATGTATATATATACATATACACATACACAGTTACCAACACAGATGCGTACACATATACATATACATATCCATGTACATGTGCATGTACAGGCACATGCACAGATGCATGTACATAAACATATAAGTATGAACATCTATATATATACACACATACATATGTACATCCATTATACACACGTACACATATATTTGTTTTCATACAGACACGCAGTTGCACATACATACATACATGCATACATACATACATACATGCATAAAAAAGACGTACATATATACAGACAGACAGACAGACAGACAGACAGACAGACAGACAGACAGACAGACAGACAGACAGACAGACAGACAGAGAGACAGACAGACAGACAGACAGACAGACAGACAGACAGACATACACATATCTACATACATGCATGCATACATACATACATGCATACATACATGCATACATACATACAGACAGACAGACATGCAGACAGCCATAACACACACATACGTACATACATACGTGCATGCATGCATGCATGTATGCATACGCACATACATGCATACAAACATACATACATACATGCATGTACGTATGCAAACATACGTGCATATAAACACGTCACAATAAGATAAACGTAAATACACAGATGGACATCTGTGTCACCCAATACTCTTGGCCTCTTAGGCTGGGGTTCCCCTGTCCTTGAGCCGTGGCGCTGGCAGGCTGGGAGCAGCAGACTTGGGAAGTATGAGCTGCTCATGCCTGGGCACTCTAAGTTCCGTCCGTCTATTTGTCTGCGTGTCTGTCGGTCTGCCCATCCATCCGTCCGTCCGTGCCTTGGTAGCACGTTCGACTGAGTGCCCAGGGAACCGCGCTCGTCCACTGGGAGGCGGCAGCTGGGTGTCGCCCGGGTATCTGGAGCCCGTGGGCGCGGGTGGGGTTGGATTCTCGCCCACCCGCGCTGTGTTGCTCACTCTCCGGAAGCGGGGGCCCGTGGTGGTCAGAATGGACGGGAAACTAGAAGGCACCGATACCACTACTCCCCAGACCTCTCCTGAGGCACGTTCTGACAAGAAATTCGAGGCGAATCTAGCGGTGGCGACGAAGGCATCCCAGGAGGCCCAAAAAGAGGTAACTAGGCACGGGTAGCTGTGTGGGTACCTTTTCCTCCACTGAGGTTCGAGTCGTGACGACTCCCTGGGCACCAGTGCAGTCATTCGCTGCACACCAGCCCTGCGCATGCCTGGCCGACCTGCGCGAGCGCCAGGTCCACGACACACCAATGTAGCCTGGGGCACTGGCATTCCAGCCCTCCCGACCCGCACCCAGCGATCAATAGCAATGGCGCATCAGAAGACAAGGGGGAGGCACCATGGATCGGCCTGGCTCCATGGATCATGGATCGGCCTGGGTCCTAAGACAATGGATCGGCCTGGGTCCTAAGGCCCAGGTGTGGAAAAGAAGGCGGTGAAACACAGGATGCGTTAGCTCTGGGGAGCAAGCCTCCGAGCCGATCGATTAGGCGGGCAAACGTACGGTATAGCGCTGGCTCAGTGGTAGTAGCAGACCACTGCGCACGAACGCATCCATTACAAGGAGCCTCAGAGCCCTGATCAGCGCCAGTTTCATGAGAAGCATCGTCACGATCATCTACAGGGCCCTCAGAAAAGGGAGGGGTCGGTCGGTCGGCCGCGGACCTCGAGCGGCTCGGTCTTGTGAGCTCCACTGGGGGGGGTGGGCGCTACTGCCAGAGCACAGCCCAGATTCGGAACTGCCAGCAACAGCCCCAAGAGAAAAGACGGAGCACGGCCGTCCTCCACCACCCCAAGCCCAAGGGGGAGGGCGTGGAGAAGGGGGCCCAAGCCTCCCCCTCGCAGACGGCGCAGGGCGGGCGATCGGCGGCTCCTCCCCATAGGGGCAGACGCGGCGGTCGTCGAAGCGGTGGGGGCAGGGCAGCGCGCTGTACAGCGTCTGGCGCGCCCAGGCCGACAGGCCGACGACGACGACAGCGGCGGCGGCGCCAGCAACGCGACGGCACGACGGCAGGACCGACGACGACGACGATGACGACGACCATCTTGCGAACGTGTGATCCCTAAAACAGTTCTGACCTGCATGTGTGTCTCCATCTTCCTTGCACCCGCCCGCTAAGTCTACGAACCAAGCCCCCTGTGGGGAGGCTGCCATTCATACCAGCTCCTGGGGGGAACATTCAGCAGTGCACTACATATGCGCATCGCGCCGCCATGGGCGCAACGCTAGCTAACGAGCCCGCGGGCAACTCACCAACTTGATTGAATTGCGAGGCGATTTCGGGCGAGAGCGCCGTTCCTCAATTTCGGGGCTTCTCTGGCCAGGGCGTCTCGGAATAACGTTGTGAGGGAGTGTCGAGCGGGAGCCGTTGTCATCGCAGGTGGACCGCTACGAGCTTGACTGTATTGCACAGAAGTCTCAAGCGCGAGCGCCGCTCCTCAGTTCAGGGGCCTCGGAGGCCAGAGCGTCTTCGAGCAAAGAGAAAGGAAGTATCGGGCAGGAGCCTTTGTCGTCGAGGCTGGGCCGTTGCAAGCAGGATTGAATTCTCGGGCGAGAGCGCCGCTTCTGTGTTTTCAATCTGGGTGACTTTCGAAAAAGTCTCGAGCGAGAGCGCCGTTCCTGAGTTCGGAGGCCTCTCTGGCCAGGGCGTCATGGGGTAAATCACGAGGAAGTCACGTGCGGGAACCGTTGTCATCGTAGCAGGGCCTTCATGGGGGGCCACATTTGGAACCAAGTCCGCGCTCGAGCGGGAGTCTCGTTTGCAGAAGACATGTAGTCAACGCCGGAGCGAGAGCGCCAGAACCGACTCTGGAGGTCAATATCACAGATTATCCAGAAGCAGATGTTCGACGACGACGACGACGACGGCGACGACGACGGCGACGACGGCTACAACGACGGCGGCGGCGAGGGCGACCGACGCCATGGGACCAACGACCGACGACGACGACGATGACGATGACCATCTTGCGAACGTGTGATCCCTAAAACAGTTCTGACCTGCATGTGTGTCTCCATCTTCCTTGCACCCGCCCGCTAAGTCTACGAACCAAGCCCCCTGTGGGGAGGCTGCCATTCATACCAGCTCCTGGGGGGAACATTCAGCAGTGCACTACATATGCGCATCGCGCCGCCATGGGCGCAACGCTAGCTAACGAGCCCGCGGGCAACTCACCAACTTGATTGAATTGCGAGGCGATTTCGGGCGAGAGCGCCGTTCCTCAATTTCGGGGCTTCTCTGGCCAGGGCGTCTCGGAATAACGTTGTGAGGGAGTGTCGAGCGGGAGCCGTTGTCATCGCAGGTGGACCGCTACGAGCTTGACTGTATTGCACAGAAGTCTCAAGCGCGAGCGCCGCTCCTCAGTTCAGGGGCCTCGGAGGCCAGAGCGTCTTCGAGCAAAGAGAAAGGAAGTATCGGGCAGGAGCCTTTGTCGTCGAGGCTGGGCCGTTGCAAGCAGGATTGAATTCTCGGGCGAGAGCGCCGCTTCTGTGTTTTCAATCTGGGTGACTTTCGAAAAAGTCTCGAGCGAGAGCGCCGTTCCTGAGTTCGGAGGCCTCTCTGGCCAGGGCGTCATGGGGTAAATCACGAGGAAGTCACGTGCGGGAACCGTTGTCATCGTAGCAGGGCCTTCATGGGGGGCCACATTTGGAACCAAGTCCGCGCTCGAGCGGGAGTCTCGTTTGCAGAAGACATGTAGTCAACGCCGGAGCGAGAGCGCCAGAACCGACTCTGGAGGTCAATATCACAGATTATCCAGAAGCAGATGTTCGACGACGACGACGACGACGGCGACGACGACGGCGACGACGGCTACAACGACGGCGGCGGCGAGGGCGACCGACGCCATGGGACCAACGACCGACGACGACGACGATGACGATGACCATCTTGCGAACGTGTGATCCCTAAAACAGTTCTGACCTGCATGTGTGTCTCCATCTTCCTTGCACCCGCCCGCTAAGTCTACGAACCAAGCCCCCTGTGGGGAGGCTGCCATTCATACCAGCTCCTGGGGGGAACATTCAGCAGTGCACTACATATGCGCATCGCGCCGCCATGGGCGCAACGCTAGCCAACGAGCCCGCGGGCAGCTCACCAACGTGATTGAATTGCGAGGCGATTTCGGGCGAGGGCGCCGTTCCTCAATTTCGGGGCTTCTCTGGCCAGGGCGTCTCGGAATAACGTTGTGAGGGAGTGTCGAGCGGGAGCCGTTGTCATCGCAGGTGGACCGCTACGAGCTTGACTGCATTGCACGGAAGTCTCCAGCGCGAGCGCCGCTCCTCAGTTCAGGGGCCTCGGAGGCCAGAGCGTCTTCGAGCAAAGAGAAAGGAAGTATCGGGCAGGAGCCTTTGTCGTCGAGGCTGGGCCGATGCAAGCAGGATTGAATTCTCGGGCGAGAGCGCCGCTTCTGTGTTTTCAACCTGGGTGACTTTCGAAAAAGTCTCGAGCGAGAGCGCCGTTCCTGAGTTCGGAGGCCTCTCTGGCCAGGGCGTCATGGGGTAAATCACGAGGAAGTCACGTGCGGGAACCGTTGTCATCGTAGCAGGGCCTTCATGGGGGGCCACATTTGGAACCAAGTCCGCGCTCGAGCGGGAGTCTCGTTTGCAGAAGACATGTGGTCAACGCCGGAGCGAGAGCGCCAGAACCGACTCTGGAGGTCAATATCACAGATTATCCAGAAGCAGATGTTCGACGACGACGACGACGGCGACGACGGCTACAACGACGGCGGCGGCGGCGGCGACCGACGCCGTGGCACCAATGACCGACGACGACGACGACGACGGACGACGACGGACGCGACAACGACGACGACGACGACGACGACGACGACCACGACGGCAGCGACAACGATGACGACAACGACAACGACGACGACGACGACGACGACGACGACGACGACGAGAGATATGGAATGCAGGAGCTGGCGATCAGAGGAGGACGAGAAGGTAGAGGCGACCAGAGGAAGGAACTTCTCTCTCTCTCTCTCTCTTTCTCTCTCTCTCTCTCTCTCTCTCTATATATATATATATATGAAAAAAACTTCTGGGGATCGGCGCAGATTTGTTCTGCGTCGGCGCTGGACCCGCACGGGGCTCCGAACGTTTCTGTGCTGGCCTTTTCGCTGCGAAGCTGGAATTGATATGCATACCCACCGCCTGGCAGTGGATCAGCAGAAATCATACTAGTAGAATCCTGGAGGCCTCGCGCGACAACTTCGGCCCCTATTCACGTCGGACACACGTCGGAACTACGTCGGGTTCCCGTCGGCACACGTCGAATGCACGCCGGCTTCGCATCGGACTTGCGTCGAACACCGCCGCGCTAACGCCGTGTGGACTAGACGATACAAACACTGCGCGCGGCGCGAAGCCTCCAAGACTTCCCTCGTAGTCTGTAAATCCTGGCCTCGGGTTTCTGCTCCTCGCAGCGGGGCGGCGGCGCGCTGCGCGGCCTGGCCGTCGAAGGCCACGACCCTGGCGGCGGGGGTGCGTCGGCGCGCCAAACCCCCGGGCCGGCCAGGGCCACGAAGCGAACCGCGACCAGACGCGGATCAGCTCCTAAACCCGCCGCAGCGACAGGGGAGTGGGGAACAACGCCATCGCGGTCTGGGGCGTGCTCCCGCGGAGGCGCGGTCGCGCGGAAGCTTTTCCTCGCGGGGGCAATCCGCGGACAAAGCGCCCCAATATCCGCAGGGTCTCGCGGCCCATGGGGCGTGGCCCGCGAGGCCGCGGGTACCGGAGATGTGTTCCGCCCACGAAAGCACGGCTTCTCCGGGGCTCTGGTCAGCGGGGCATGCTGCTGCGGCACGAGCTGCTCGTGCTCCTGCCCCTCACTGCCCGTGCTGCTTGCCCTCCCCCCTCCCCCCCAACCCGTCGAGCCACTTCCCCCAGCTCGGATGACGCCCCGTATGAGAGGTCGGCCCCACACGGCTCCCAATCCAGGGCCAGCCAGACGGGACCAGACGGATCTCCGCTGGTGGCACGCACAAGGGGCTGGGGCGAGGGGGCAGCCTGCTCAGAGGCGAATGGGGCTTCTAAACTTTTTGATCTGCAGGGCGAGAGCGAACCTCTTCCGCTGAAAGCTAAGCGGGACGCGCACAGCTTGAATTAGCAGAGAAAGGGCGGAAGAAGGCGGGGCCTCACGCGGCCGGGAGAGGGCGAAGCCCAGGGATCAGGCGGTGCCGAAATGGACGTGCAGGAAAAGGCACACCTTGGACAGGAGTCCGGTGGTGAATGGGGCTTCTAAACATGCAGGGGGGGTTCTCGGAGGCCCTCGGCCCCGAAAAGAAGCCCTCGTAGAAGTCCTTTGGCCCTTCTGAGAAGAGCCATGCCTTCCAATAAGCCCCTTTGGCCTTCTTGGCCTTCTTTGAAGAACGCCCCACCCTCGCCGCACCACCTTGCGCGCTCCTCCGAGCTAGCGTTGCCCCCCAGTATGTTGAGTGACATCGACAGGGGGATGCAACATCGAGCTGGACTCGGCGATACAAAGCCGATAGATCGGCGATAGGCCCCCGATACCGAATCCGCGCAGTCCTGTGCGGGGTGGGCCATCGGGACCTTATCGGCGACGGATCGGTGTTGGAGGTCGACGCGTCACCTCGCTGGGCCTATCCCCCCTCGCGTTGCCCCAGTGGCTGTCGGGCCATAATTCGGCTCTCCGGTGGCCGTTCGGGACATTTCAGGCACCCCCGGAACGCTCTCGGCGAGGCGCAGCCGCTGGAAGGCATCCCGAGGCTGGAACACCGCCGAGGACTGGCGGGAAACGCCCGAAAACGTGGAACGTCAAAACTCCAACCTCGAAACGTCAACCAAGCCCCTCCCCCAACGCTGCCCCTGATCCCCGACTGCCGCGGCGCCGCGCGCCCTGCGCCGGCGAACATTTCTCCCGAAGGGCGGGCGCGCTGCGAGTTGGCGCGGCTGCTCGGCCGAGGGCGAGGTGGGCGACTGGTCGGCCGAGGTGGCCCCATGGCCAGCGGCGCGCAGATGCCTCCTCTCGGAGGGCGCGGGAGGAGGAGGCCTCGGGGGAAGGAGGGGAGGGAGGAGGCGGCAGGAGGCAGGAGCACCAGTGTAAACCCAAGACTCATCAACGATGTTGGAAAACATCCTCCCTCCAAGCTCCCTCTCCACAGGCCCCCACAAGGCTTCATATTTCCACTGAAGGAACTGCCTCGTTGGGAGACAACCGTTTGAAAACCCTGAAATGCGCCAAAACATAAATCTCGAAACTCCAACGCCACGAATCAACTTGAATGTGATTTATTGATGATATTAAATCGTGCCAGAACGCCAGTCCTGGGACGTCAACGCTGCGAATCAACGGAACTGTTGCGCCGTCACATTCCTGACTCCTTCGAAAACGCCATTTCTGGTACGTTTACCCTGGGAATCCGTGAAATTCTTGCAAACGTTTTAAAACATGTGCGCGGCGCTAACATGAGAACCATAATGTGAAACGAAACCGCCCTCAATCCGTGAAACTCTTGCATTTGTTTAAACGAATGTGCGCAGCACTGAAACGAGAACCACACTTGGAAAACCGGTCGCCCTAAATCCGTGAAGCTCTCGCAAACTTCAAAAACATATGCAAACGGCGTTAAAGCGAGAACCGCAATTTGAAAACGACCCGCTCTGAATCCGTGAAACACTTGCAAATCTTTAAACAGAGAAAACGCGGCGCTCTGTCGGGAATATCATGTTGAAAACGACCCGCCGTCAATCCGTCAAACACTTGCATTTTTACATATCCGTAAGATCTCTTGCATTTTGTTTAGGGGGCCACGTGCGAACCCTACCCCTACCCCCCACGATTTCTGAGGGGGAAGGTGGGTTTCCCTTCGACCAGGGCCTCTCTAGCGAAGTGAAACCCACCCTCCGCCTCAGAAATCGTGGGGGGTAGGGGTAGGGTTCGCACGTGGTCCCCTATTGTTTACACGAATGTGCGCGGCGCTAAGGTGACGACAACTTTTTGAAGACGGCCCGCCCTCAATCAGTGAAACTCTTGAATTTTGTTTACACGAATGCGCGCGGCGCTAAGGTGAGAACCACATTGTGCAAACGACCCGCCCTCCATCTGTGAAGCTGTGGCCAATTCCGAATCTTCAAGGTCACAATTGATGCTTGAAATCTCAGGCGAAACGACCGGCCCGCCCTTTCGATCGGCCTCGGGGTGCGACAGGGAGGAGTTATTCATGAGGAACAGGATGGAGGAAGGAGGAGGACGCCAACTATACACCTACACCGATCCTGGCCAGGCTCCTCGTGGGTCCAGGATCGGTGCGTAAGCCCTCTTGGCTTGGGGAGGAGGGCGCATGCACCGATCCTGGGCCCACGATCGGCCTGGCCAGGATCGGCGTAAGTGTGAGCCCTCCGAGGAGGGGGCGTGGTGGCCTGGCGGCCTCGTGGGGGGGGGGGCGGCAGCGTGTCAAGAGAGAGAGAGATGAGAGGGCGTGGCGGCGGGACCCCCTCTTCTCAATCCGCCACTTGCGCCTGCCCCGTGGGAAGAGGGCAAGGCGACCTCGATCCTCGAGGGTCAAGTGGCGTCCTCGCGGGCACGGAACACGATCAAGCCAGATTAACGATCAGGGCGAAGCCCGCCAGGTCAAGCCCAGATCGAATGAAACCAGACTCGGCCTGGCCGGACCGGAGTGACACCAAGAGAGTGCCAAGGCGGATGCTTCATTTGCGAGCGAAGAACGGAATCAAATTCGCCGGCCCCATCGGGGGCGCCTAGGCTGCGAGGCGGATGTGTTCAAGTTCTCTGCAACAGTTCCAGCTACAAGGTTATGATTGTAGGTTTTCTGTTTTTTGTCCGCTGTAGTGTTTGAAATCCGCGCGAGAGGGAGAACCCGAAAATGATCTGGTTCCTCTTCCAGGATGAGATCCTTAGCGAATTGCTACGCATTGGCGCTTCCGAGACCATAATCCTTTCTAAATGACTACACGCTGGCGCTTTCGAGCCACAATCCCTACTGACTTACACCAGATTAGAGCCTCTAAGCCCACTGTATTTCTTACCACGTTACCCCGAAACAGCTATCCTCGCGAAAATGCGCACAAACTTGCGCTCCCGAGGCCACGAACACATCCCACAGAGGCGACCCCAAATCGCCACCTCCTCCAGAGCAGAACAACTGGCATATTCTGTATTAGGATAAGGGGCGCGGTGGCCAAATTTCGGCACCGCCCTCGCTTCGTGAGAATTCGGCTCGAGGCTCGAGGACACGAATCCTTGCAAATAGCTAGGGGTGTGCGCTCCAGAAGCCTCGAACCCACGTAAATCAGAGTGGAAGTGCGCTCCCGAGGCCGCCATCCTTCACAAATCGTTACAGGTTGGAGCGGAACGGAACGGACCTCCGAGTTCGCCCACGTCCCCGCGTTGCACGCGTGCGTAGTCCGGTCCCCATCAGGGGTGTCATATCCAGCTGCTCGCAGGCAGATGGCCTCGTCGTCAACCCAACGGTTCCGAGGTTTCCCCGGCAATCTCCCCAGGCGCGGGGGTCGGGTTGAGGCAGCCATTTGATAACTTTCATGGCCCACAAATTGTTACAGGCGCGCTCAGCCAGCCAGACAGCCAACAGCCCAAATCAATTGCCAAGTATCACTTTAGCCAACAAGCCAATCAGCCGAGCTGCCAGCCAGCCAACAGACAAGAAAACCGACCAACCTACCAAAGAACCGTGGCGATATGATCCATTTGAAGGAGGGGCCAGCGGCAGAGTGCGAAGCCCTTCGGACACACTATTACACCGTCGGGGGGACCTGTCCTAGGGAGGATGGGAAGCCTATACCACTACTTTGGCAGGGGGGCGTGCAAACTGTCCAGCCGCCCCGGGACAGGTGCCCCCGGTGGCGGGGAAGCTTATCTTATGATGGTTTTCGCCCACTAACTTCATTCGACCTGTCAGGCGTTGGAGCAGAATCGGGGCGGCGAGACGAAGGTCGGCAAGAGGGGGCTCATGGGAACAGCTGCGCGCAGCCGCGACGCCCCACCTGGCTGCATGCGGAGGGGCTGCCGCGAGCGGCGAACGTATCTGTATCCGCGCCCTCGCTCGGAGGCCTGGAAATTGGCACCAACACCAAGACAGGGCGTTGCCTCACAGGGGGAAGGTGATCCTAGATTTTCGGTGTTGGTGGTAATAGTTCGGCCACCTTGGAAGCCAGAAAATCACCACCATCACCGAGATCGGGATCTTCTTCCCTCGGTGGAGGCACACCGCCGATCTTGGTGTTGGTGTCAACCACTCGTCCTGCGACTCGCGGCGCCTGGATTCCGGGGCGCGACCCCGCAGATGCGCGGCCGCACGGCTGCGTCCCGCGCGGGGCACCCGCGAAGCCAGAAGCGCCCCGAAGCCGCGGGGGCGCGGCCCGAGGGCCCGACCCGCGAGGCCGCGGGCACGGGTGTGTCGTTTTGCGCTCAAGATCTGAGAGCCCGGCTGTGGAGGGATGAGAAAAAAACGGCCCTACAGTCGAGGCGTTGACCTAAGGAATCGTAAACTAGGAGCGAGGCCCCTATTCTCCATAAGTTGAACTTCGATTTCGTATCGAAAACCTAGAAAGAAAATCCAAGGCAAGCTGCGAAACAATTAAGGAACACGGAGCCCCTCCCCAACGAAAAGGGTTCCTTCTTCAGGGCCCCGACTGTACCCTGGGTTGCGAGTGCGCGGTCTGTAAACCTCCTGGGGGGCCCCAAGGCCTAGAGTGCCGCCAGGACGCCGCACACCACGCAGGGCCTGCCCCGACAGCGCCGCGTAAACCAAGGTAAGGCGTTTTGGTATGCCCTTGATGCTGGGCGCTCGTGAAGCTGGTGTCGGGTTTTTTGGGTGCCCTCGCGGCGGGCGGGGGGCAGAGCGCGGCGGGGGGTTGGGGGGCGTGCGCCTCCGGCGGCGGTCCCGCTCGCCGTGGTAGTAGGCGCAGCTCCTGTGGTC